GGTTAAGCAAGTTGATGGATGTGTAAAGTCACTGGAAAGCAATTGCAACGTACTCGTCCGGAAAAAAATTTTCCCTAAAAAGTTGTCGATGGGGGGGGAGGTTGTTGCTTTCCGAAAAAATTTTTTGGCGGAGCACCCCCCCTAAAAGACCATGCTGGATCCATCCCTGATCAAATATCAACTTTTTAGACGACCAAACATTTAAACATTTAATTTAAATGTGTGCTGCCATATTTCTTGTCCCTCCAGACCGAGAACTTTGGGAAATGGCTAATTGTTGTGTGAATGTTGTTGAATGTTGATTTTTGTTCGTCGCTATATAACAAAACGCTTAATGTTTGTCCCCTTGGGAAATAGTTTTGTTTCCCTTCGAATCTCGATGTTTCCCTCGACTTCGTCTCGGGAAACATTGAGACTCTCGGGAAAACAAAATAAACTATTTCCTTCGGGAGCAGACATTAAGTGTATACTGTACATGCATGTTTCTTTCATTATAATGTTGTCTCAGTCGCATGTTAAAAGAGTAAACACTTTCTCTGCAAATACTCTTGTTTCCTCTTGTTATATAGCACTGAACCACGGATAACTTTAAGACTTGGGATTGGATAGCCCATTCTTTTGAGATTCAGGAGTTAAAAATATTTTTAAAATTTATATCATTGTGATACATGTGTTAATATATTGATTTCTTTCATCTCGCGTTATTTAGGTTTGTGGCAAACCCAGCTACGGTAACATGATCTGTCCTTTTCCAAATTTAACAAGAACCGTAACAGCTCATCTTCAAGCTGAACTCTCATTTTCCTTGGACGCGGTGACAACATGGGAGGTGTTCAGTGGATATCCAAAGTTTAAGTCAATGACCATTGTTCCAGATCCAATTATAACTAAATTTGATGGTGTTTTTGTTTTAAAGACCCCCACACTCGAGATTAAGGTAGGCGTTAGAAGTTATTATAGTTAGATTTAATATAAATTGTAACCAAATTGAACTTTTGATGCATGACCTCTGAGTTTTCGTGCAGTGTTAGCTGGGAAAGAAATATTCGGAAAACTCGAGTGAGATGATGCATTTTTATAATGAAGCATTTTAAAAGTTAGCTTTTGACTCGCGTCCTCGCGGGAAACGACAATGGGAAA